TTTTTTTTTTTTTTTTTTGGTACCAGGATCAAACTTCTGACCTTGCGCTTGCAAGTTATTTTGAGACATGATCTTTCTAAGTTGCCCCAGGCTAGCTTGGAACTTGCAATCTTGCTATCTCAGCCTGCATATCTGTGATTACAGGTGTACACCCCTGTGTCAGGCTGGTCTTTAGTTTTGTTGTTTTTTTGGGGGAGTACCTGGGATTGAACGCAGGTCCTTGCACTTGCAAAGCAGGCAGTGGAACCACTGAGCTAAATCCCCGGCCCTGGTCGTTAGTTTTAATTTTTGCTTCTAAACTTGTGGATTATTTCCTTTGCGGTGTGGCACCAATTTTCAAAACCAGAGACTCTAAATTCTTTGAAGAATTCTAATAATTTCATTATACATTTTACTGCAATGTCTGAGTATGCTTTTATTCTGTAGTAATTTCTTGGCAAAGTTTATTGCCTGAGCTCCAGAATTTCTGGGGAAGATCATTACAATCTTTGTCCCAATGTGCAGGGCAGAGACAAACCTTGGAGCTGAGCATGTTGATGCATCTGTGTAATCCTGGCACTCAGGAGGCAGAAGCAGGAGCATCACCATGAGTTTGAGGTCAGCCTGGGCTACAGTGAGTTCAAGGCCAACAATTACATAGCAAGACCATGTCTCAAAACCAAAACAAAGAAGAAAAGGCAAATTTATGTAGATCTTACAGGAATGACATCTAGTGACAGATGCAAAAGCTTGCATCTCACTACAGGTCCTTTCACTGCCTGTGCAGGCCTCCTCTCTCAGGGCTATTGCAGCTACAACCTCTGCTGCTGCTTCTGCTACTGCTGCTACAGATGTTGTTAACATGATGTCTCCATCTGGGCCCTGCAATGCCCTCGACTGCCCTAGATGTGTTTGTGTATACAAGGAGGCCTGGCCAACTGCTCAGTGTATACTTCTCCTTAGTGTATCTCTTCTGCTCATATGCACGCTCTGTTTTCCCACTAGACTACACTTATGAAATACAAGTTCAAGTCCAGCCTGATTGTGCATGCCTGTAAAACCACCAATCTGGGATGTTAAGGCAGGAGGATCACAAATTTTAGCCCAGCCTGGGCAATTTTGCAACTGAGTGATTCAGCAAGACCCCATTTCAAAAATAAAAATTAAATAAGGGCTATGGATATAGCTCAATGCAAAGGCTCTGTGTTCAACCCCCAGTAGTACAAAAAACAAAACAAGTACACACACACAAACACACATGTTCAAAGATAAATTTATTAAGAATTCCCCT